CCCACCTGCCTGCGGGCACCACCCACCTGCCTGCAGGCACCACCACTCAACTTGGTGATACGATCTTTGGCTTGCCAACGTCACCCACCTACTTGCCAATGGGAACTGCCAGCCTGCCAGGCTCACCCTGTGCTTCCTGGCACCACACACCTGATCCCTAACATCTCCATGTGCTTACCCACATGACTCTCTTACTCCCTTGTCATCCCCTCCAGCAACCTCCTTAGCCCAGGCCATCTCTTCCTGGACCACGTGTGCCCTCCTAACTGCTCTCCCTGGCCTGTCCCCCACAACATGACTGTGAGCACCCATTGGAGACTCAGACGATCCTGGCTTGACGCCCTAGCTCCCCCTCTTCCTAGCTGTGGGACTCTGGGCATGTTCCTCAACCTCTCTGAGCAGCTAGTCTCTCAACACAGATAATCCTGAAGTTGCTGCAAGTTTTTAAGAGAATTAAACCAAGTAAAATAGGCTCGCTGCCTGGTTTGTAGCAAAGGCTCATGAACAGCCGGCTACTCTTATTATAAGCTGTTATTTTACATCCTCACTGTTGTTTTAATGACTAAATGCCCACTTCTTTAATATGAATTGAATCAGGTACAAAAGAAATAAATACCGATTTAAAGAAGGAAAAGCAAGTCTCACGGCATAAGTGTGCAAATGATAAGCGCTTCATAAATTGCAGCTATTATGTTCGTATTCCCATGAGTTTGTCACGTTCGTTTAATCTGTTTCCCAGCCTGGGCACTACTGATATTTGAGACTGGAGCATCGTTTGTTGCAAGGGCCGTCCTGTGCACTGGAGGGTGTTTAGCAGCGTCCTTGGCCTCCACCCACTAGAAGCCGGGAGTACCCCACCCCGGATGTGACACTCAAAATGCCTCTAGGGGGCAAAGTCACCCTGCTTGAGAACCACCGCTTTAATCCTTTCTAACAACCCTACGAAGGAGACGCTATGTTTACGTCTGAGGGGAAAGTGCCACGGCCTCTACAGCCAGGTCTACGCATCCCCAGCTCTGAGGTAGCAGTGATGGCAGAGATGAGACATCTTGGCTTGTCCCAGAGAAGCCCTCAAGGCAGGGAGGGCCCTGGAGGTCTCCCCAACCAGTCACCTGCACCCACCATGGGGAGCTGGTGAATGATGCGACTCTGGCTGGAGAAGTGTGAATTTCTTGGCCATTCAGTGATCTCTTTCCTTAATACCTTTATTGATGTGTTGCCGGGAGCATTGTCTCCCCTCCTCCCCTCCCCCTCCCCCCAGCTTAATCCAGCTAGAAACCTGGCTCTGGTCCAGGGAATACACAAAGACTCAAGGAGGATTTAGGGAAGAGGTGAGGAGGAAATCAGGAGAAGAAAGAAAACTTTAACGTGTGAACTTCTGCCCAAAGACTCGATTTCCTGGGGAATCAACGGGACCAGCGTTAAGGACCTGGGCTCCGTTGCCAACTGGTCCTGTGACCTTGTCAACCTGTGTTTCTCAGCCGGACACTTGATGGCATTTCAGGTGAAATGTGCTCTTCATTGTGAGACTCCCCCTGCGCTGTAGGTTTGAACGTCCTTGGACTCTGCCTACTATCAGTACTAATCTTGTCTTTATTTAAACTTTTGGTATTTTAGGGGGCGCCTGGGTGGCTCAGTCAGCTAAGCATCAGACTCCTGATTTTGGCTCAGGGCGTGGTCTCCCGGATCGAGCCCAGCATCTGACTCTGCACTCACTGTGACCAGCACAGTTGGCTTAGGATTCTTTCTCGCCCTCTCTCTGCCCCTCCCCTGCCTCTTCTCTCTCTCTCAAAATAAATAAACATTAAAAAAAAAAAACTTTTGGTATTTTGTTCATCGTGGATTGTGTGTGTGTGTATGTGTGTGTGAGTGTATTTCGGTATTTTAAATATTGCATTAATATATTATTTGCCCTGATTACTGAATTTTTGTGCTCCAGCTGTCCTCCTTATCCTAGTCTCAGTCCTGGTTAGTTAGGAACCCCAGGGACTATGTGAAACAAAGACCTTGCTCCCACCCATTTCCACCTGTGTTCCAGAGGCTGCCACAGCCCCGACTGGAGCCTCTGTGGCCTGGAGTGGCTCTGGTTGGTCCCGTGCTCACACACTCATATCTCTTTTGCCTCAGTGGCCCCCACGTGTTCTGCTGAGCCAATGGTGGGCTCGGAAATCTTTCTTCCCAAGACGAAGAAGGCAACCCACGTTTGACCCATCAGAGTTCTCCTGGGAGGCTGAAAATTAGGACACAGAGGTGCTGAGGGTTGGACTTTTGTGTTGGACAATCATGGGAAGGAGACAGGAGTGGCCTTGCTCAGCTCATCTGCTAGAGGGAGAAAATGGAGACTGTGTCCAACATGGAAGGAGAGAGAGAGAATGAGACAGACAGAGAGAGACAGGGAGGGAGGGAACATTCCAACAGCTTTCCTGTTTCTGGTTCCAGACCCTTGCGAGGATGGGTGGAGCTTCATGCTGGTATTGGGTTGAATGGTTTCCCACCCACCAAAATGTCATGTCTACCCTGTTTGGAAATAGGATCTTTGGGGCACCTGGGCGGCTCAGTCAGTTGAGTGTCTGACTTCAGCTCAGGTCATGAGCTCACGGTTCATGAGTTTGAGCCACATGTCGGGCTCACTACTGTCAGCCTGTCACTGCAGAGCGACTTGGGATCCTCTGTCTCTGTCTCTCTCTCTCTCTCTCTCTCTATGCCCCTCCCCCACTTGTGATCTCCCCCAAATAAATAAAATATTTAAAGAAATATTTTATAAAAGAAATAGAATCCTTGCGGGTGTCATTAGTTGAGATGAGGTCATACTTATTAGGGTGAGCCCTAAATCCGATGACTGATGTCCTTGTGAGGAGGGGAGAGGACACACAGATGTACAGGGAAGAAGCCACAGGATGACAAAAGCAGAGACAGGAGCGGGTCAGCTGCAAGCCGAGGAGCACCAAAGACTGCAGGCAGCCACCAGGAGCTGGAAGATGCAAGGAAGGATTCTCTTCTAGAACCTTCAGAAAAAGCACGGCCCAGCCGATGCTTTGCTTGCGGACTTGCGTCCTCCAAAACTGAGAGAGAATAAATCCATGTTGATTTATGCCACTAAGTTCGTGCGAATTTGTTAGAGCGGCCCCAGGAAGCTAACACGATGGCCTTGGGCTCCAGGAGCCTCCCTGATCCTTCCAGTAACTGCCCATTTTGTGGTTCCCTAAGCTTGGGTGGGTTTTCTCCGCGGGATATAAAGCGCAACAGCGGACCCGGCCTGGTGGCTCTCCACCCTAGCTGCTCCTCATAATCACATGACGTTTTAAAAAATGACCAATGCCAGAACCCCACACCAACTGAATCGAGTCTCTAGTAGGTGAGCGTTGTCGGGCCATTGCCGCTTTTTCTCCCTTCTTTGGCTGTTTCCTGTTTGAAATTTGACTTCCTGTGGTACGGTTTTATTGGGATATAACTCACATACCATCACAATTCACCCATCGAGATATGCAGCCATCACCACAGCCGATTTTAGAACAGTTTAATCGAGGTGCCTGGGTGGCTCAGTCGGTTAAGCGTCTGACTCTTCATTTCGGCTCAGGTCATGATCCCGGGGTCATGGGATCCGCGTTGGGCTCTGCGCTGACAGCACGGAGCCTGCTTAGGATTCCCTCTCTCCCTCTCTCTCTCTCTGCCCCTCCTCCACTTGCGTTCTCTCTCAAAATAAAGAAATAAATAAATACATATTTTTGTGAAAGAACAATTTAATCACCTAGAAGAGAAACCCCACACCCACTTGCTGCCACCCCACACGGCCTGGCACCTGTGAGTGCTCCTTAGAG